GTTCTTCAAGTCACCTATTCAATTTTATGTCTCATAAAAGATACATCATTTAATTTTCATTTATTTCCTTGTTATAAAAATTGCAGCCAGTTTATTTGTAAATAAAAAAAGAATTTGTACGGTAAGCAGTTGAACGTTTATTCCTCATGAAAAAAAGAACAGGCTAATATGCATACGTATGTGCCAGTCACGTTGCCGTTATGTCTCGAATAAGTACATGTTAAAAGCACAGGCTTTTTATCTTTTTATCCTTTATAGAGGATAATACGGTACGTGGATGAAAATAAAAGAATCGTAATCACGATGAAATTTAGAATATGATCGAATAAATGTGGCTAAATGGAAAAGCAGTGTTTCAATATTTCTCCCCTCCCCCTTTTCGTTTATGAATACGAAAAAATTTCATCTCGTCTTGTTATCGTTCTCTCAGTGTAATAAATATACGCTTTCGACCGTATCACAGACCGAGGATTAATTTTATAATCAGAAAAAGCGAATTTCATTCCCCTGTGTGGATTTCCAACGAAATTCCACGAACATTTTGTAACACAGGGAGGATCTCGGGAAGATTGCTCCAGCAACAGATCCTTTAATTTTCTAAGAGTATGTGCTCCTTCTTTATTAAAAGTTCTTACGGAATGTATCGTTGGAATACGTGAGCCCGTGGGCAAGTTAGAACAACGAAAAGTTAGTGCCACGATCTAAATAATTCACGGATACGTGTCCGAAAAGCGAGCGTATCGGTTCATTATACCGCAATGGTTTCGGAATCTATACGTTAATATTATATCTGGCATAAATTGTATTACGTGGATATATATTAGAGAGCAATTGCTAAAACACTTTCGTTTAGTTGTTTCAACGAATAGAGAGAGCTTTCTCGAGAGGATTCTGAAGACTTCAACTTTTCGTGGGCGAACGAACAGGGTAACGACGCACGGAACGCGGGAGAGAAACGATGACATGGCGGATTCCTCCGATGCCACTTCTTCTGCTTTTATATTCCGGAAAGCTTTGGTAAAGCGCATCGAATGCACATTGCGGTAGACATGCGATCCAGGTTAAGCCGATGCGCGAGCCAATCGATACTGGTTGGTTGTTTCACGATTAAACGAATGCACCAAATTCGAGAGGAACTGGCTTCTTCGTTCGTTCGCTGAATGGTCCGGTGACAGCGTACCATTCTATTGCCTCGAGCTCCTCCGCGCGCCGCCTTGATATTGCATCCATGTCTGAATCGTTTCTCGTGATATATGAGATCCGAAATGCGAATGCATATATCATCAACTTTATTTTCCCCACTTTGTGTGATTTATTTAGAGTATAGTAATTGATGCCAGTGTTGAGTACAAATCTGAAAAAAATTCTTTCAATGGAACACGTAAAAATTATGCCCAATCTGTTATAGTATGATTCTACATCTTCGAATTGGAGCAAATTTTTTTTTGTTAAAGAGTTCACTATTATATTTACATTGTTCAATACTTAGCTTGGGAAACAATAATCTCAAAGAAACCATGACTTGTAAATTAATTGTTTTGTCGAAAAATAATTTCTGCAATCATTAATTGCAAATAACACTGCTCTTGCATCGTGGAAAATTTCAATTCTTTTAAGCCAATGTGTATCATTTATAAATGTATTTTGCACATTTTTCAGTCAGGTAAAAGATAAATAGCCTTTTTAATAACAGTGAAACGTTCAAAGGAAATAAAATTGTTGCTGGCTAAAGCATGTGGAGGTTAATTACGTTTCTTCCAAACAGATTTTTGTAGATCAAAAATTTTGTTTGTTAATTTTAAGCTATTTATTTTCCTGAAAGTTTCATTGTTGTGTAATAAACTATTTATTTTGCCTGATTGTAAAATGTAATTATGAATAACGTTGCCAATCAATAATATCAAAATTATGAATCATGCCGATGAAACATTAACGCATTAACTGCGACTGAATAGTGTCATCCGCGAAATTATTCTTCAAGAGAACGGTACACTCGCGATATCCTTTGAAACTTTTATTCCTCGCGATGAATGCTAGATTATTTGACCTTGACTTTCAACTTCTTGACTCAGCTTTCACTGCAGCGATCTTTCTCTTTAACAAATCCATCCATCGATTCGAAAGCGCAGAATCATAGGCGCTAACTGTTTAGACGTATAATTTTCGCACAGTCGGTAAGATAACTCTAATTGAAGAACAACGATCGTGGAAATTCTTATCCTTGATAAAAGTTGGAGGGAAGAATAGAAGCAGGACAAGGTGAAACTTTGTGTCCAAGTAGTCGGCTGGCACAATTAAAATTCTCGGCAAAATTTCTCATTTAGCCGAAACGCTTGCTCTTGCCAGCAGAGCCATCCGTGAAGCCATCCGTACGGCAAACGGAATTTCACCGAGCCATTTTTTCTGGGAAACAGTTAACCAAGGAAGGTTAAAGCGGGTAACGATAAGGAAACGCAATTCCGACCATTCTTTTCGTGTTATTGCGGTTGTGTCAGGCGTTTCCGGAGCGTGACTCGCCAAGCACAGCAAGGCAATGAAACGTTAAAAATGCGGGCTATTAAGAACCAATGTGCCAGGATACCGTTCCCATTTGCATCCACGCTGTCGTCTTTCTATTATTAAAATACGGAAGCGGCGGCAACGATTCTCCCCTATTTTTCCTCATTCCCTGTTCTCTTTTCCGGCCGAAGGAATTAATTACGCGTCGATGCCGTTGTGCGTTTCTCGATACATTTCTGACGATTGTCTTTCCCGAAATGTCATTCTGGGCCAAGTGTCATTTCGTGTTCAAGCTCCTTGTTTCGAGAGAGAGAGCGCTTCAACCTGTTGTTTGCAACTTGAATCACAAGTGGCTAAAAACTCGATGAACTACGATACAAAAGCGTTGAGAATTTAACGTGACTAGGCATACCTACAGTTAATCAATCTTCATTCTCTGCTACTTAATTGCCAATCTGTCGTATAAAAAGGTGAATTAGGTGTTATTCCTACTTACTTACAATTAGAAAAAAATAGATGGTAATGAAAGTGGAGGAAATAATGGCTGCTTGTACAGAATTTATTTATAATTAATCTCTCTGAAGCATTATGGTTCATCATTGAAAGTGTATTTCGCTAACAATTAATGTTGAGAAAAATTGTTATGTATTATAGAAAATACAGATGCATTATTTCTTTTTTAAATTTAAGGAAACTTTACTTTATAATAATATAATATATGTACTGTTTACATATATTATATTATTATATTATATTATTATATCATAATATATTATATTATTATATTATATTATATTATATTATATTATATTATATTACAGTTTATTCTTTTTGTATAGTATATAAAACTTGAAACATTCTTTACCATTCTGATGACATATTATACATTGTTCTAGAGTCTTGTTCAGTTTCAGGTAAAATAATCGATAAAAAAATATTTCTCTATCAAATGAAGTTTGATATTCGACATCGTAAATTTAAATATCTTTTGCAATATTTATGTAAGTATAAGATAACATTAATATCTCTGCGCGAGGACATATACACAAATAATTTATGAAATGAAGAGAAGAATATAAGTCGATTGGAATGTAAGAGATATTTTGGAGAAAGTTCAACACTTGTAAAGCCTTATAACTTATAAGCCAACATATCCTTCGAAAACCTTGAAGAAGACAGCGGTTTTTAAAAATCATGAATTGATTTTACTCACGACAGTGCATTTGAGAAATTAAAACAACCTTGGTTTAAACAATGAATTCCTTAAAAAACGGTGTATATACCTTCAAAAAATATTTATGAACTCTTTCGACAGATCGAGGATAATATTATATGAGTATCGATAGTTTTAATCGGACACGGAGAAATCGTTTTTTTATTATTGGAATAATTAAAAAAAAAAAAAAAA